AAATGCCACGGAAATTAAATAGACTCTCTGGTGAGTTCAAGGCCAGCCTGGTCTACATAGTAAGTTCTAGGACAGCTGGAGCTACAAGGAGACCCTGTCTCAAAAAGACCAAAAAAAAGAACCTGTTTCAAAAAACCCAAAAAAAAAAAAAAAAGCATGCAGCACCATGCCCAGTCATAATCTGTCACTATTTTACCACAATTTTATCTTGTTGCCATACAGAAATTGAGTTCTTAAATTTTTATTTGGTTAAATTTATCAAATCCTTTTTGTGATTGTTGCATTTTTGTCTTGTTTCTATACCTCAAAGTTAAAAAGCATTCTCCTGGGCTGGACCCAAAAAAAAAAAAAAAAGCATGCAGCACCATGCCCAGTCATAATCTGTCACTATTTTACCACAATTTTATCTTGTTGCCATACAGAAATTGAGTTCTTAAATTTTTATTTGGTTAAATTTATCAAATCCTTTTTGTGATTGTTGCATTTTTGTCTTGTTTCTATACCTCAAAGTTAAAAAGCATTCTCCTGGGCTGGGTGTGGTGGCACACACCTTTAGTCCCAGTGCTCGCAGGCAGAGGCAGGCAGATCTATCAAGGCCAGCCTGTATATGTAGTGAGTCCCAGCCAGCTAGAGCTACAGGAAGACCCTGTCTCAAAAACCAAACCAAAACAAAAACATTCTACGTTTTTTCCTTAATCAAAGATTTTAGTACAGGAAATCTGTCTTTGTGAGGCACCAAGGAAAACAGGTAGAAACTAATCAAACAAAGGCTAGTTTCCCCATCACTGAGGCTCCAGCAGAATTACTACTAAAAAGCATCTTTGGGGTGAGAGGAGAAGAGAGGGGAGGAGCAGGGGAGAGGAGGAGGAGCTGTGTGGTGGTGGGGTCTTTCACCTGCATCTCCTCACTCTGAGACTCATCTACCCTCACAGAAGACTAACAGATGGGTGTGGTCCTTATCCCACTGCCTGACAGTTTGGGAAACCCTCGGGGAAAATTAATTTGCAGACCAAAATAGCAAGATATTTGATGAGTACACTGCTTCTAAAAAGAAAAACAACATAATCAACTACAGATTCAGTCAGGAGCAAAAATATTAGAACTGAGTGACCTAGAATTTGAAAATAGATTGCTAACCACACAAAAGAAATAAGAGGGTCCATGAGATGGCTCAGCATGTAAAAGTGCTTGCTGTGCAAGCCTGATGACCTGAGTGTGATTGCCAAAACTCCCAGTAAGAGAGAGAAATGACTCCTGAAAGGTGTCCTGACTTCTACACAT